CCCCCACTTTCAGCGCCGTTTCTCTCCCCGTCCATTTTCCGGGCAATTTAAAATGTGGTTCCAGGGACCCCCAGTTAATGGAAGGGTAATGGAAGCAGAGCGTAGCGGTAATGCCCCCCCCATCAGCGTCAGGCACCTGCACACCCCCTGTAAATGGGTGTTCGCTTGCAGCCTGAGTGCTTTTGGCTCTGCCCCCCACTCCCCTTGTGTAGCATTCTTTGTATAATACCTCTGAACAATAAATGTTTCGGGGGGGAACACATACTGTTACCTGCAGCCGGTGGATAAACGTGGTCAAGTGTGTCACCCTCCGCTTAAGATGTGAACCAGCCAGGTCAGGTTCAGACAGCCTCAGCATTTTGATCCTGCATCATTTTGTGCGTGGCTAAGGATACCGACGTGGGAGAAGCTTCCAGAAGCATGGTGTCACGCCCTGCTGATGTCAGACAGCAGTGTGTTCTGAGAGTTGAGTGGGAAATGACCTTTGACCCAGAACCCTGGCAGTTTAAATGGTCTGGTGGTGTCATACTCGGCGGTCCAGTGGTACTCGGCGGTACTGTGCCGGAAAGCTCCCAGCCTGAGATGATTGGGTGTCATGCTCCCACAGAGTTGTGGTGTGTCTGAGTCGTCCCTAATGCCCGTTTTTTTTTTTTCCCGGTTCTTTATCTGAAATGTTCAGGGTAATTGGTCCGGCAGCTGTGAGATTTTCTCTCATTTTTAAACAATGTTGGACACATTGGTGACAAAGTCTTGGTCAGTGAGGGTCTTTCTGGGAGGCTGCCATCTAACATGCAGGTCTCATTTTGGGCTGGGCAGGGGGGGGGTCTGGCTGCCTTGCCTGAGCTCTGTCCTTCTTGTGTGTGTGTGTGTGTGTGTGTGTGTGTGTGTGTGTGTGTCCCTCTATCTGTCTTCAGGGTTCACTTCCAGCATCCAGAGAAATGTCCCGTCCTCTCAGTTCACCCCCCAGCAACCCGGGCCGCCCATATCACCTCGCCCCATGCACCACATCGGGGGGCCCTACCAGCAGGGAGGCGCTGGCGGACCCACCTACGGACACCATGGTGGACAGTATGGGCCTCAGGGTGAGGGGAATCTGCGTGACATGATTGATTGAATGTGGCCGTCGCACAATTCGGCGCCACACTTCAGCAAATGTTTCTTTGTTGTTGTTTTGCCGTTGATTTTATCAGAGCGCGGTTTTGCCTGCTTATACCAAATGCAGCCAAGGAGGCTGCGCCGTGCTGGTGGGGGGGGGCAGAGGAGCTGAGAGTGCCAGGGGCACATTTCTGTTATTTTTCATTAGATCCCCTGTCCTTTCTCACTTTGAGGGACACGCTGAGTCTCAGATCTTGCTGATCCGGGTGGCTCCTTGGGTTTTTCCCGCGGGCCCCGGTGGCCTGATTCGGGCTCCCGCCCCTCCCTCTGAATTCGGCTGCTGCACCACTCTGGATCGCTCCTCACTGCTGTTCTTCCCCGTTTGATACGAGTCCCCCTTCGTCGGCATCTCTGTCACGCAGAGTTGCCTTTCTGCTGATGCAACCCGCTGAAAAAGGACCCAGATCCGCTCTGAGTCACAGTGCCTCCCCTCCGCAGCGCCGATTCATCTTCGTCGCCCCCAGCCGGAAGAGGCTCGCTGCTCTGGAGGGGGCTGATCCCATTTCAGACGCGGCAGTATTCTCCCGGGATTAAGCACAGCCGCTCCACCAAGGGCCAACAATCGGGTCCAATCAGGTTCTCCTTGGTGATGTCGGCTTTTCAGTTCTGCCTGATTCTGAGATATGTGTTGACATGGGTTTGGGCACGATTAGGAGGCTGTTGGATCATCACGGTGCCCTGGGGGGGGGGGGGGGTGTACAGGTGATCAGAAGTGAAAAGCGGAAACACACGGGAGCTGCATGTCCCCGACGCGGAGCCCAGAGTCTCCTGTCGGCCCTGGGCGTAATTACGCCTCTCCGATTTCACGCTGTGGCTCATTTCTGTTACTATGCCAATGGTGCTGTGACCCGCTGGGTTTTTTTAACGTGAGGTCTGTCACTCGACGTGTGGAGCGACACCACACTGTACAGTGGATGGCTGACTTGACGGCCGTGCCCCCATTTGTGATGATGCCCCCACTCATCTCGAGAGCACTCTACCCCCCAGGTAATTACCCCCGGCTGCCCGGATACGGAGGAGCCCCCGCCGCCAGCTATGGTGTCCCGGGCTCCGGCGTGGGCAGCAGCCCCATGCATGGCCAAGGTCCTGGCCAGCCCTGTGGTTCCATGCCTGCTGGGCGTGGCGTGGGCATGGCAGCGGGCGTAGGGAGCCGCCCATATCCAGGCAACACTGGCGGCCTGGCCCCCGGCTCACCCGGCATGCCCCAACCGTCAGGCCCCGGCATGGGGAGACCACAGCCCAGCGGCGGCCGCAAGAGCCAGGAGGTAGCAGTGTCCGCAATGCAGGCCGGAGGGAGCACCACGGCATCCAGGTGGGTGTCAGTTCCAGTCAGCGTGTTCGCGCATCTGTGTATTCCTTAGTGCTGCATTTATTATTTTCAAATTATTGCACCAAAGACCAGGTGCCTTGTGGGTGTGGGATCATGGCCCATCAGTGCTGAGCCTGTGGGTTGAACCCGGCCCCACACTGGAGGGCGACGTGCCCATTATGTAGGATCACCAGGTTGAGTTCAGGGGAATCTCTGTCACCTCCTGTCGGATGGAGCTCGTAATGATGCAATGAAAGGAGAGTGACTCAGCGAGACTCTGGAACGTCTTCTGTGAAAACATGTAAATGCGACTTATCTGCGCATGTGCGTCTGCGAGTTTTTTATCGCTTCCCAAGTAAAGCATAGCCCTTATTTAGTGACAAGCTGTTAATAATATGGCCGTTGAGCAGCCTGACCTGGCAGAGTCACCATACTGTGAGAATGTGGTCTCTGTATCTCTGTGTGTGTCTGTGTCTGTCTCTGTCTCTGTGTGTGTCTGTGTTTCTGTGTGTGTATGTCTGTGTCTCGCTCTGTGCGTGTCTGTGTCTCTGCGTGTCTGTGCCTCTCTGTGTGTGTCTGTGTCTCTCTCTGTACGTGTCTGTGTCTCTGTACGTGTCTGTGTCTCTGTACGTGTCTGTGTCTCTGTACGTGTCTGTGTCTCTGTGCGTGTCTGTCTCTGTGCGTGTCTGTGTCTCTCTCTCTCTGTCTGTGTCTCTCTCTGTGTGTCTGTGTCTCTGCGTGTCTGTGCCGCTCTGTGCGTGTCTGTGTCTCTCTGTGCGTGTCTGTGTCTCTCGCTGCGTGTCTGTGTCTCTCTGTGCGTGTCTGTGTCTCTCTCTGCGTGTATGTGTCTTTCTCTGTGTGTCTGTGTCTCTCTGTGCATGTCTATGTCTTTCTCTGTGTGTCTGTGTCTCTCTCTGTACGTGTCTGTGTCTCTGTGCCTGTCTGTGTCTCTGTGTGTCTGTCTCTCTGTGTGTCTGTCTCTCTGTAGGTGTCTGTGTCTCTGTTCCTCTCTGT